GGGAGGGAAGGAGGGAGGGAGGGACAGGAGAAGGGAGGATGGGAGGGAGGGTGTGGGCCAGCACGCTGTAGGAGAAATGAACGCTGGACCGAGTACCTCTTGAGTCTTGTAATCCCACACTGCCCAGGCTGTCGTTGACCCACTGGTTTTGAATCTCTTGCTGGTGGCTGAACAGTCACTAGGCATGTGATTCATGTATCCTGTAGAGTCAGCCTTCTTCCCACACAGGGTTGAAAGCAGAACAAACTGCTCAATAAACCATGTTTCCTCATTCTTATTTATTTATTTTTCATTTTGGCGGAAGGATAGCTTCATAGGCAACTACTGCTGCGTGTTTGTTTTGCTTTATTATGTCTCTCTCTCTCTCTCTCTCTCTCTGTATGTGTGTGTGTCGGGGGGGGGGGGAGGGGTCTCAACAGTGTGGTCTAGGCTTGTCTTAAACTCACTGTGTAGGCCAAGCTGGCCTCAACTCGCAATCCTTCAGACACACCCTTGTGAGTGCTGGGACCGACCACAATGTCTTTATTCTCTCATCTCATACATTTGATGGTCTGACTGAATCTAGAGTTTTCTTAAGGACTTCTGTCTCCTTTGTCTTTCTGCAGGTGAGAAATCTGAAGGCGCTATGATTCCTAAGTAACTGTTTTATCCCCTTGGAATTTCCATGGATCCTCTGTGGTTTACCACCTCAGTGATGACTTTGAAGTTGTTTTCTGGGGGCACTTGGTGGCTTCCTCCCATCTGGTAACTCCTCTTTTCCACTTGTAGAGTTTTTTTTTTTTTTTTTTTTTTAAATTCTTTTCATTTGATCTTAATTTTTTGAGGCAGGGTCTCATTTTGTAAGCCTGACTGTCCTATAACTCACTTTGTAGACCATTTTCTGTGAATGAAACTCTCTCTCTCTCTTTTTAAATCTCCGTGTATTTTTTTTTTTTTTTGGTAAGATTTATTTATTACATATACAGTGTCCTGTCTGCATGTATGCCTGCAGGCCAGAAGGGGGCACCAGATCTCATTTCAGATGGTTGTGAGCCACCATGTGGTTGCTGGGAACTGAACTGAGTGCTCTTAACCACTGAGCTATTGCTGCAGCACCCACCTGCGGAGCTTTGGTTGACTTGCTCACTGATGATTTTCCCACAGTTTCCTGTGTGTTCCTGCTGGAGTGCCCGCTCAAATGGTGGGCCTGTGTGTCTTCTCCACTTATTTCCCTCAAATCTTCCCTTCCGTTTTCCTTCATCCTTTTTTTTTGACTGTATTTTTAGACCTTTTTTGAACTTTACCTTCCAATTCCTCTGTTGAGTTTTTAACTCCAGTTTTTTTTTCTTTAAACTTTCAAGAATTCTTTTTATTATCTAAATTTTCCTTTTTGTGTAGTATCTGCTTTCTGATTTGTCCAAGGACAACAACAACAGCCTGTTGGATATATATATATATATATATATATATATATATATATATATATATAGTTTGTTTGTTTATTTGTTTTTCAAGACAAGGTTTCTTTGTGTAACCCTGGCTGTCCCAGAACTATGTAGACCAGGCTGGCCTTGAAGTCATAGAGACCCGCCTGCCTCTGCCTCCCAAGTGCTGAGATTAAAGGCGTGCACCACCACCACCCTGGCTTTTTATATAGTTTTTATTTCCTCAAAAATGCTTTGTTGTAGTTACTGATTTGGTTTCTGTTTTCCGTGCTGAGTCCTCCTCAAATATCTGCTGTGTTTTCTTCTGTGTTTATGATTCAAAACAAGGGATTGATCTGCGGAAGAGGGGGAGGAAGGGTTGTAGGAGCCAGAGGGGTCAAGGACACCACAAGAAGGAGGTGCGAGGTCTTATTGCAAGTTGATACGCTGTGCTTGGTTAATATCACTGGGAGACCAGCCCTTTTCTGAAGAGAAATGGAGGGGGAGTGGATCTGGGGGAGAGAGGAGAGGGGAAGCGGCAGGGAGGAGAGGAGGGAGAGGAAACTTCAGTCAGGGTGTAATGTATGAGAGAAGAATAAATTATAAAAAATTAATAAATAGATGAAGTGGCTAGCCAAAAACCAAAGACTAAGGGATTGAAAGAAACCACATGGACTGCCATTGCCTTGACTGCTCTGAGCACACACGGGCTCGTTGTTCACTTTGGCACTCTTCTGAGCTCAGCGTTTAAATGTCCTTCTTCCTGGGCTGATACATTTCCAACAAACTCTTCCCTTCTCCAAAGTCGGTCAGGCGCTGGCATTCTGGGAGCCAGATGAGGGAAGGATAAGAGCTTTTAGCGCCGAATAGCCATCACTGTTCCTGTGCTGGGTTGATAAACAATGTGCACATCTTCAATAGTGTCTTCTGCCCTGCAGCCCGAGGCCCATGAGAATAAACTTACTCAGGAGAACAAACCATTAGACCAAGGAAGCGGGAGGGCTGATTGTCCAGAACGGTGCAGTGTGAGCGGAGACAGGGAGATGCAGCCTGCCGAAACAGCTCTCCCCTAATCCGCTGTATTTAGCTTCCTCATTGATCAGGCTCCCCTTTGCACCACTTATTGAGTGTACAGCTCCGTCGGCCGCCAGTCTGCTTTGCAGTTTCCAGAGGTCAGGCACTCTTGTATTCTCTTTCATGTGGCTTCATGCCTTCCAAAGAAAATCTCCTTATTCACATTTTAGGGAGATTTCACAGAGAAGCAAAATTAGATTAGCCAACCATTTTCTTCCAGAAAACCATTTACATTTACGTTTGCCTCTTTTAAGATGAAAAATAATGCAGAGGCTCTGGGACACTGAGGTCAAAAGCGGCGGGTTCTTCTGCCTCCTTTAACCTCTACTCGTGACAATAAAGTGTTGTGATTACAACAAGCGTTCATCGAAGGTCTGTGCTTACGATTGTTAGGGGGTTTTGAAGTTTGGGAGCTCATACTTGGCCCACAGAGTCAACCCATAGTGGGTTTCCACCACTCACGTGTGTCTGGCTGTGGACACAGAGGTTGGCTACCTAGAGAGCAGAAGGTCATTTGTTATTGTTACTCTGAGGACATATTCATACTGCCTCAGCTGGGGAGCTTCGATGTCTAGGTATTCTTTAATAAATATGTTAAATAACAGGAGAGCTAACTTTCCAACAGATTTTCCTAGTGTTGCTTCCCTGTGGTGATATTGTCTCCCCCAATATATCGTGTACCCTAATAAACTTATCTGGGTCAGAGAGCAGAACAGCCACTAGATAGAGGCCAGAAAATGGTGGCACTCACACCTTTAATCCCAGCCTCCTGGAGGCAGAGATCCATCCTGATCTCTGTGAGTTTAAAGCCACACTGGAAACAAGCAGGCGTGGTGACTCACACCTTTAATCCCAGCACTTGAAATCTCATGTCTTGCTTGGGAAAGACACACGCCTTTAATCCCAGGAAGTGATGGCAGGAAGCAGAAAGGTATATTAAGGAACTAGAAGCTTTTTAAGCTTTTAGGCTTTTGAGCAGCAGTTCAGCTGAGATCCATTCGCATGAGGACTCAGAGGCTTCCAGTCCGAGGAAACAGGATTGGCTGAGAAGTTGGTGAGGAGAGGTTAGCTGTGGCCTGTTCTGTCTCTCTGATCTTTCAGCGTTCACCCCAATATCTGAGTCCAGGCTTGTTTTTTTTTTTTTTTTTTTAAAGATTTATTTATTTATTATGTATACAGCATATGTGACTGCAGGCCAGAAGAGGGCATCAGATCTCGTTACAGATGGTTGTGAGCCACCATGTGGTTGCTGGGAATTGAACTCAGGACCTCTGGAAGAGCAGTCAGTGCTCTTAACCTCTGAGCCATCTCTCCAGCCCCCCAGGCTTGTTTTTATTAATAAACCTTTTGAGATTCGTGCTACACTTCCACACTCCTCATCCCTTGAAAAAGAGGAGTCTAGCGCAGGCTAGACTCAAATATGCGATAGATCCACCTCAGCACTCCAAGTGCTGGGATGCAGCCATCTGCCATTGAGGCTGCTACATGTGTTACTTACAGGGAAGGTGCCTCCATGACATACATCTCTCTCTTTCTCACACACATACACACACGCACACACAATAATAATAAATAAATAGAAACAAGAGTAAGCTATAAAATAGGCCAAGGACCAGTTGGGAAAAAAGGGCTCTCAGGAGTGGGAGGGGGAGAGGATCGTGGGGGAGAATATGACCACAGCACATTCTGTATACCTGGGAAATAAATGGTCAGAAAGAAAGAAAATTGCTTCTTCATCTTTTGTTTATTTGGTTAAGACAAAGGTTTTGCTCTGTAGCCCTAGCTGATCTGAAACTCACGCTGTCCAGGCTGGCCTTGAAATCGTGGAAATCCTCCTGCCTCAGACTCCTGAGTGCTAGAGTTATAAGTGGGAGCCACCATAACATCTGGCTCTAGCAATAGCTTTTGCATGCCAAGTGTGATGGTTAACAATGACTGTCCACTTAGCAGGGTCCAGAGTGTCTTAGTTAGGGTTTCGACTGCTGTAGAGACACTATGACCATGGCAACTCTTATAAAGGAAAACATTTCATTGGGGCTGGCTTACAGTTTCAGAGGTTTAGTCCATTATCATCATGGTGGGACATGGCAGTGCACAGGCAGACGTGGTGCTGGAGAAGGAACTGAGAATTCTACATCTTGAACCACAGGCAGCAGGAAAAGAACTGTGAGCCACTGAGCCTGGTTTAAGCATCTGAGACCTCAAGTGGCCACTGTGACACACTTCCTCTAACAAGGTCACACCTACTCCAACAAGGCCATACCTCCTAATAGTGCCACTCCCTGTGGGCCAAGTTGTGGTAATATATTTGTAATCTAAGAAGTAAAGCTTGCCTGAAGATCAGAGGACAGAGCCAGCCACAGAGTTAGCCACAGAGGTCAGGCAGTGGTGGCACACACCTTTAATCCTAGCACTCATGAAGCAGAGGCAGAGATCCATCTGGATTTCTGTGAATTGAAGGCCACACTGGGCTACATGAGGTTAATCCAGTCTAAAAGAGAAACAGCCAGGCAGTGAGGGCCACACCTTTAATTCCAGCACTTGGGATCACACACCTTTAATCCCAGCACTAGGAAGATGGAGACAGGAAGTGATATAGCTGGGCAGAGAAAGGAATATAAGGCAGAGGAGACAGGAATTCCCTCTCTTGCAGAGGCTCTCTCAGGCTGAAGAGTTGGTGAGGTAAGAGGTGGTAGTTGTGGTTTGCTTTGCTTCTCTGATCTTTCAGCTTTCACCCTGATATCTGGCTCCAGGTTTTTATTATAAGACCATTCAGTATTCATGCAGCACCAAGTATTCAAACACATGAGTCTGTGGGGGTCGTTCCTATTCAAATCACCACACAGAGTCATTAAAATGACAAGCATGTCTGTTTACCTAGATAGCCGGGGTGGGGAGACCCAGCCTAACTCTACAGTTACCATCCTCTGGGCTGGTGCCCCACACAGTACAGAAGAGAAAGCAAGCTAAGTACTCACATTCATGGCTCTCTGCTTCCTGACTGCAGTCACAGTGTGATGAGCCACATCAAGCTCCCCTTGTCCTAACATGCCTGCTGTGATGGACTGTACCCTGAAAATATGAGTTAGAATGGACCCTTCCTTCCCTCAGCTGCTTGGTCATGCACTTGGTCCCAGCAGTAAGACAAGTAACTAACCTGCCAATCTACCCAGGAACCAGATATATCCCGTCTGCTGTCCTGGGGTGTATATGGTCTGGCAGACAGAGCCACCATGAAACAGGATTCCCAATGGTAGGAATGTGGAACAGGGATACTTGCCTCCATCTCAGCTCCAGTGAGCCTCTGATCATTCTATGAGCTGGTATAGAAGATGCTAATTAATGAAATACCTCAGACCCAAGTTGCCACACACGTGAATATTCAGAGGCATTTTGGAGGCTAGAGCCTTGTGATAAAGCCTCTGCCAAGCTATATCACTTCCTGTCTCAACCTTCCTAGTGCTGGGATTAAAGGTGTGTGATCCCAAGAAGCAATTCATATCTCAGAAAGAAAAAAAAAAATGCCTTATAGGAAAAGCACCCGGCTGAAATGGGGGGGGGGGTGTTGATATTTATTGGCCCAGCAGGTCATTCTGCTGTCATATGATAGCACATTTTAATGACAAGTTTTCAAAAAGTACATATATATTCTTAATGGTTTAAATCTCCATTAGAATACAAAATGGGTTTTCTGACGGGCAACTTGGAACAGGATCTATTAAAGAGTAGCCAGAACCATCTATTATAATATTTGCTAATGTTTTTGTTTTTATCTAATTACAATTCAGTGTTTAAAAGATAAAGGTTTTTCTGTTTTGTTTTAACAATCCTTGTTGCTCAATAGCTGAATATACGTGCTGTCCTGGATCATGGGGTTAGCCGTGCTTATTTCAATATTAAACAGAAGGATTCTTCTTCAGAGGAGTGAGCAGGGAATTAAGCTTACAGCTTCAATTACCAATCATTAATTCCCCACGCTGCAGCCACGCAGTTTGCATTTAGGCCCCCAATGCCCACAGGATAACAGAAATCTATTTTGATCACTTTTTATTTTCATCATTTAAGGAGTACATCTTATTCCAATTAGGCCCATGCATTTTAGATTGCAAGAGAACAAATACTCTTTCTCAAAAGCTAGGGAGTGGGGGGGGGGGAGCTTCTGAGCCAGACAAAGACAGTTCTGAGACCTATTCTGTCTCTTGCTTTTATTGAAGGAGCATTTCATATTGTGAGGAATTGGCTACCTCATCTACAGGAAGCCAGTATTAAAGCACATGGACAGTTTCCTAAATTTGCTTTTCCTTATGAACTATTCTTTGCTGCCTTTCAGAAAAGAACAAGAAAGCAACTGAGTACCTGATTCCCAGTGAAAGAAAACATAGTCTTTCTGTAAGGCCAAGCCCAGGAACCCTGGCCGAGGCCGGAGCATCAGAAAGATTGTCCAGAGAAGGAGGCCACACCCAGATGTGGGCAGCAGAGACTGAACCAGCCCATCAGGGAATGGCAACTTCTATTGACAAATTCTGAACAACCAAAAGAAACCACCAGGGTCTCTCTGAGGCACAGACGACAATCAGAGCTGGAGTTCTTAGACACAAAAGGACATGCTTGGAATCGGGTTCCCTGGAAATAGGCAGACTGCGAGCACGTGGGAAACAACTTGTAAGAAGTGCAGCTGCCTGGGTTTCTTCTGGCCTCCGGGTTAACTTTGTCACCAATGAGCCTCACAGTTCATTGGAAGTCCTTGTAAAGCTCGCTTAAGTGGAATTCAATTAAACGAAGCCATGAACTAACCGAGTATGCTTCTATATTTGGCTTTCAGGAAAAAGAGAAAATCATTTAAAGCAAGGATGCCTGTTAGTCATTTAGAAAGATGGAGGCTCCAGCACTCTCTACAGCAGGAAAGCTAGATCTGAGGCCAGTGCACGCTCATGTCAGCCCAGACGTGTCCAAATCAGGATCCCGGTACCCTAAAAATCTTTAATATCATAGTCATACACTTAAAGTTTGTTTTAAATTTTACTTTATGTGCATTGGTGTTTCACCTGCCTGTGTGTCTGTGGGAGGGTGTCACATCCCTTGGAACTAGAGCTACAGATGGTTGTGAGCTGCTGTGGGTGCTGGGAATTGAACCTGGGTCCTCTGGAAGAGCAGCCAGTGCTCTTAACTGCTGAGCCATCTCACAGTGTGTGTGTGTGTGTGTGTGTGTGTGTGTGTGTGTGTGTGTGTGTGTGTGTCTCTGTGTGTGTGTGTCTCTGTGTGTGTGTGTCTCTGTGTGTGTGTGTCTCTGTGTGTGTGTGTCTGTGTGTGTGTGTCTGTGTCTATATGTGTGTTTGTGTGTGTGTGCAAAAGACAAATGTGGCTGTTACTAAACACCATTGTTGTGTGATATTTTAATCATATTTTGACAATAAAACTGGCTTGGAGTCAGAGGGCAGAGCTAGCCCCTAGCTGACCAAAATTAACCATAGAGGTTTTGGAGGACTAAGAGCAGACAGGAGACAGGAAATAGTAAGGCGGGGCTGAGGGATGGAGGAATGGGAGATAGGAGATCGCTGGGGCGTCTCTGCTGCTTCTGTGATCATTCAGGTTCTTACCCCGATATCTGACTCCTGATTTTTTATTGATAAAGAATCATTAGATAAACGCTTCACCCATCAATCTTACTTTAAGACAAGGTCTCATATGCTAGTGCTTGACAAGTGTTCTAGGCTGGGTGCCTAAGGAGTCCCAGGCATCCTCCTGCCTCCACTTCCCAGAGTTGGGTTCAGAAGTGCACCACCATGCCTCCCCCCCCCCCTTTTTAAAAACATGGGTTCTGGGGCTCAGACTCAAAGTCATTTATCATCAGAGCCATCTCCCTAGACGGTTTCTAAGGAAGGAAAGCAGTGTGTGGCCCCTCAGCAGCATCAAGCTGGGGTGAACCGGCTGGATGCTCAACATTGTCATCATTTGCTAATACAGACTTGAAAGTGAAGACAGATTTGAGTAGGCCATTTTGAAAAATACAATAGACATTCACTTGTTTCCTCTTAGTCTCCCGTTTTACCAACTTCCTTTTCTGTGGACCGTTGTATCTTCTTGGCGGCTGGCATTCCTAGGCAGGTTGAAAGAAATCAAATAATCGGTCCACCTGATTCTGAGGAATTCATAGTACCCAAATAGTAACTTTCGCACACTTTACAGATTCCTTCCTGGCTTGGCTGCTCTCGCTCACCCCTCTTGGTTGGGCCTCATTTGCCTGTTGAACCCCAGGGAACCGACACTAAGAACAGGAAGTCGAGAGAAATCCAGTGACTTGCCATTGACTGCACAGCCAGATGGTGTCACCAAGCCTGAGCTTATAGCACTTATTTTGTAGTAGTTCAAGATTCTTTTCCATTACCAGACTTTCTGACAACAGATATGGTGTTAGACTGGTATTTTTTTTCCTCCCTACAAATGAATTTTAAAAGTGCAGAAACACCTTTCTTCAGGATCTTCAGTTCAAGAATGGGTACTTTTTTTTTTTTTTTTAGTATTTATTTGGATTTTTAATTATATGTATGCGTGTGTGTGTCTGTGTGTGTCTGTGTGTGGGCATAAGCATGTGAGTGCAGTTGCCTGCAGAGGCATCAGATTCCTTGGAGTTGGAGTTACACAGCACGAGAGAGCTCTTGCTGGCCTTGACAATGAAAGAGTCCACCAGTCAAGGAATGTGGTAGCCTCTAGAACAGTGGTTCTCATCCTGTTGGTCACCCCCCCTTGATGTCAAACAACCCTTTCACAGGGGTCCCCTAAGACCATTGGAAAACACGGATATTTACATTATGATTCATAACAGTAGCAAAATTACAGTTATAAAGTAGTTATGAAATAATTTTATGGAGTCACCATAACATGAGTAATGTATTAGAGGGTTGTCACAGCATTAAGAAGGTTGAGAATCGGGCCGGGTGGCGGCGGCGGCGGCGGCGGTGGCGGCGGCGGCGGC